AAACCCTTGTTAAATCATGAAAGTGCCGGTGTTCACTGAGAGCCTGGGGTTGGACCACGGTGTTCCACCATGTCCGTGTTCTGGTACCAGAAGCTTCACCTCTGGTCCAGGTCCAGGACCAGGACCAGGACCAGGACCAGGACCAGGACCAGGACCAGGACACGGGGGGGCGGTGTGATCACAGGGACCATGTGCGCCAGTTCTGCGGCATCCGCTGCGTCTTCTTTGTCATTCAGTCAGTCTGAGGTGATGGAGAACGAGCCGGGCTGGTATTTTTCCACTGACGGTGCGTCACCCACTCCCCCCTCCCTTCCTCAAGCAACGGTCACATGATCCTGCGCGCGCCACAATATTTATTATTCTAAAGGCGGCGTGAACGCGCTCAGAGTGGGAGACTGACATTTGGACACGTGAACGGAGTCGGACAGGGAGGGAGGGGGGGGGGTCCTTTACATCGTCCTGCCGCTGTCACTGGTCAACCCCCCCACACACACACACACTTTAAACCCCACGTCACATCAAAGGCTGTGAGGTCTTTAATGTGGTCCTACCTCAGAAGGTTCCGCTCCAGCAGAACCAAGTTCGGTCAAGAACCTCCGTCCTCCTCCAGCGATGCCAAAGCCGGAGTCAGGTGTCGTGGGGGGGGGGCAGCGTGGGAAGACACGGCTCGTTCCTGGAGACGATGCGCTGCACGGTTCACCGTCACTTCTTTGTTACAGCTGTTTGTTCGCAGTAGCTGAAAATCCGCCGCTTTGTTCTAGAAGTGGGAGAGAAATGAACGATGTCAGGTACTGATAACTCGATATATCGTTGTCAAATACATTGTTTGTGTTCTGCCGGTGTTGGTCTTAGTTTAGCTGTGATACTTCGCATGTCACATGGCTCGTTACAACCAATGATCACGCAGCGTTCAACGTGGTTACGTTTTTGTGAAGGTGATCGTTTCGATTCACGTCGATACCGAGATTCTACGACAGCTTTCATCCAAATACGATCATTTAGTCTGTTTTCAGTCTTCTCAGGCTGAATCGTCAGTACAGCGTGTGCGTGAGTTTTGACGTGACGTCAACACTGTGATTGGTCAAAAATCCGAGCTAGCACAACGACGTAGAATTAAAGGCTTGAACCTGGTCGATTATTTGGTTCTGGAGTCTGAACAAGGCAGAAACAAACAAACAAACAAACAAACAAACAAATAAACAAACAAACAAATAAAAGTTGACATGAGACCGTCAGAACAAACTAACAGAACACAGAGAACATCAAACAATAAAGCCATAAAAAGATGAAAGTACTTTTGGACCAAAGGGGACTAAGAAGTAACATTCCTGTTGTGTTTGTTGGTTTGTTTGTTGCCACAGTATGAAGGAGACAGTGACCAGAACTGAGATGGACTTCCTGAACCAGTACCACGACGACGACAACGACAACAACAGCAGCAACAGTGTTGAGTGTACGTTTCCAGAACGGCCCGAGAAAGTTCCTCTGGGAAGGTGAGCCTGGTACTGCCCTGGTACTGCCCTGGTACTGCCCTGGTACTTCCCTGGTACTGCCCTGGTACCGCCCTGGTACTGCCCTGGTACTGACACTGTTTCCATGTCTTCTAATGCTCTCTCTCTCTCGCTCTCTCTGCCCCCCCCCCCACAGTAACTGTCCTGAGTTAGACGCAGAGAGTCAGAAGTTCCTGCCTGACAGCAGCCTGGAGAAGAAGAAGTATGAGACAGAATATGTAAGAGCTCCTCCTCCTCCTCCTCCTCCTCATTTCCCCCCCAGCACCAGGGCAATGCCTCCTTCGGCATGTCCGTCTTCAACCTGGGCAACGCCATCATGGGCAGCGGGATCCTGGGTCTGTCCTACGCCATGGCCAACACGGGCATCGCCCTCTTCGTGTGAGTTGATGTGTTTCTGACACAGGTTTGAATCCCACCTGTGATTGGTCGACCGTTTGTGGCTCCTTCACTGTTTAACATCTGGAAAGACTGGGAAAAAAAGGGGGGGGGGCGGGTCAGGTGACTGTGGGCGTGGCCTCGGAGTCCAGGAAACTCAGGTGTCACTGTGTTCAATACCCAGATAAAGGTCATCAAGGTCACGGCACATCATGTTCTGTTCCTCTCTGTGGTCCTGTTTCCTATTGGGGGGGGGGGCGTGTGTGTGTGAGAGTGTGTGTGTGTGTGAGAGAGTGTGAGAGTGTGTGAGAGTGTAATCTGATTACATGGGGTTCAAGGTTTGATGATGTTCCTGTTCTCGGTCGTCGGCTGTATTTTCTCATCACTTCAGTTGTTGTACGTTGACCAAACTGTGGCGTCGACAGAGAACGACTGACAGTCAGTGACACTGAACAACCGACACACCATGGTCTGTTGACAGTTAGAAACATGGGCGTGGCCTCAGGAGAACAGCTTAGTCCTGGTAATCCTGCTGCAGAGTTATATAAAGGAGAGGACACACACACACACACACACACACACACACACACACAGGAGATCATGAACCGTCAGCCAATCAGAGGACACGGTGGACTCACAGCTGCTTCACTTCTGAATGAGCTGTTGATTTTACTGCACTGCATCTAAGGTGTGTCCTAGTGGCCAGGAGGAGAATGACAGCTGGGGGGGGGGGGGGGCACCTGATCACCTTCACAGGACAGGTGTCAAATGACCAGCACTCAAAGTTCCCCAAAAACACTGAGCTGGCACTGTAGCTGGTGTCAGTCCAGGTCCTGGTCCTGGTCCTGGTCCTGGTCCTGGTCCTGGACCTGGAGCGGGTCCTGGTCTCCAAGGTTGAGAAAATCTCAGTCAAATCCAGGAGTTAGCCCACGAAGTAAAGAGAAATAATCAACGTATCTGGTTGTGGTGGAGGTGGATGGTCCAGGTACCAGGTGAAAAGACGTCACACTGCCCTCTGTTGGCTCAGTTTGTCCATGCACAGTATTTACAGCGTGCTCTCCTGGTCCACAGGATCCTCCTGGTGGCCGTGGCCATCTTCTCCCTGTACTCTGTCCACCTGCTTTTGAAGACAGCCAACGAAGGAGGTGAGTTCCTGCAACAGTACCAGCTGGTACTTTCCCACTTCTGTTTCCACTTTGATTGTTCTTCATTTCTTCTGGTTGTTTTACAGGAGCGCTGGTTTACGAGCAGCTGGGCTACAAAGCCTTCGGGTTGCCGGGTAAAGTGGCCGCGTCCTTCTCCATCACCATGCAGAACATCGGAGGTGAGAAACTTCATTTTCTTCATCCAAATGTTTCCTGTATTTTTCTGCGACGATGCTAACTGCGTCCGCTGGTCTCTGCAGCCATGTCCAGCTACCTCTACATCGTCAAGTACGAGCTGCCCATCGTCATTAAAACGTTTGTTGGAGAAGGAAATGGGTGAGTAACAGACGGTCCTCGTACATTCACGATTGTGGTGACGACGTCCACTGAAAGAAAGAACGAGCAGTAAAACATAGAACCAATAGGGGGCAGTAATGCCACTCGCAAGATTCAAATCTTCTGGTGAATCCCACAGAGGCAGCGAGGCTGAGGTTGTTAGCACGGCTAGCTTAGCCTAGCCTAGCCTAACACGGCTACACTACTTGCTAACGTGCTGCTAATGTCGTTCGTACCAGTGGAAACTCCGTTAAAACACACAAAATGCTCCGGTACCATTTCCCCTCGTTTATGGTGAAAATGTTCTGGCCCCGTTTACAGTTTACAGTTTACGGGACTAGACGTATAAAAACGATGCAGCGGTAAACGTTCAACACAGATATAGTAGGTGAACTTACCACCACCTAGTGGCCAGCGAGTGGTACATACTCGAAGTAAACGAAAACCCGCCAGTTTCAGACAACGAGTTTAAACATTTGAAGCAAAGTAACAAATAAATAATGATGGGCTCGGTGCGCCCCCTTCAGGATGGCAGCAGCTATGAAAAACAAAGCCAGCTCGTGTCAGACCAGACCGTGAACTCTGACCTGTGTTTGTGTGGTGTTTCAGGGAGTGGTACACCAACGGAGACTACCTGGTGCTGCTGGTGTCGCTGGTCATCATCCTGCCTCTGTCCCTGCTCAAGAACCTAGGTATGAGTTCTGGGTCCTGGGTCCTGTGTTCCAGTGTGAACCCAGGTGGCGCTGCAGCGTCACAGAACAGCAGCTGACGTGTTGTGTTGTGTCTGTCCCTCAGGTTACCTTGGTTACACCAGCGGCCTGTCGCTGCTCTGCATGGTGTTCTTCCTGATAGTGGTGGGTAACACACACACACACACACACACACACATCCAGATGTGCCCCCCTGACCCCCCCCCCCATGTGGTCCCTTCTCCAGGTCATCATCAAGAAGTTCCAGATCCCGTGTCCTCTGCCTGAAGACGTCACCAACAACTCCACGAACACCAGCGCCGCCCTTCATCCCAACAGCACCGTGGACTACAGTGAAGACTCGTGTACGCCCAAATACTTCGTCTTCAACTCTCAGGTCGGCATCTCCCTCTGACCTCTGACCTGTGACCTCTGACCTGTGTGAAGTTTGTTTGTTTTTAAATGAGTTCTGCTCCTGTGGTCTCCAGACGGTCTACGCCATTCCCATCCTGACCTTCGCCTTCGTGTGTCACCCGTCCATCCTGCCCATGTACGAGGAGCTCAAAGAGTAAGTTCCACTAAAACAAAGCAGAACTGCAGCGGTTCCGTCATCGTGTTCTTCCACCTGAACGACGGTTCTGTCTCCCTCCAAACAGCCGTTCCCGTCGGAGGATGCAGGGCGTGGCTAACGTCTCCTTCCTGGCCATGTTCATCATGTACCTGCTGGCTGGACTCTTTGGATATCTGACCTTCAACGGTGAGTCACCAGAGGTCAGGCTGGCAGCTGGACCGCTGACCACAGTCTGTGTCCAGACCTCGTGTTTGCTCTTGGCTGGAACGCCTGGATGTTCCTGGAACTGTTGACCAGTTAGACGAGAACATGACGTTCCCTCAGGCAGTAGAATCAGTGGAGACGTTTATGTTGTTTCCATAGAAACAGAGACGTTAGAACAGACTCAGATCAGACGGTTCCTCTGTTCCTTTCATGTTTTTTTTTCATTATTGGTTGAAAAGTCAGGAAGCGACAGAACAGATGGACACGCAGGTTCTCCTGGTTCTCCAGGTTCTCCAACACGCAGGTTCTCCAGGTTCTCCAGGTTCTCCAGTCTTTGTTCTAAAACTGTGGCTCCCACCTTCCTCCACAGCCCACGTGGAGCCCGAGCTGCTGCACACCTACTCCAGGGTCTACAAGTACGACGTTCTCCTGATGATCGTCCGTCTGGCCGTGCTGTCTGCCGTCACCCTCACCGTCCCCGTGGTTCTGTTCCCAGTAGGTTTAGAACGTCTCCAGAACGTCAGTCAGCGGGACTTAGCTTTAGCGCGGCGGCTAACGGCTTCTTCTTCCACTCTGTGCAGATCCGTACCTCCATCAACCAGCACGTGACCAAGTCCAAGGAGTTCAGCTGGATCCGTCACATCGTCATCACCGTGGCTCTGCTGGCCGGGACCAACACCCTGGTCATCCTGGTGCCCACCATCAGGGACATCTTCGGCTTCGTTGGTCGGTGTCTGCCTGTGTGTGTGTGTGTGTAAATGCTAACGATAGGCTAAGTGTTGTTGCTAACGTTCCACCTGTGTCCACAGGAGCGTCTGCGGCGGCCATGCTCATCTTCATCCTGCCCTCGGCCTTCTACATCAAACTGGTCAAGAAGGAGTCCATGAAGTCGATGCAGAAGATCGGGGTAAGAACCGCGCTCCTCCACCGCCTGACACTGAGACGTCATTGGGCTCTGAGAGCTGTCAATCAAACAAAGAATAAACAAAGAATTTAAAAAAAGTCATAATCTCTATTTACATTACGTCAACAAATAAAGTGGTCGTTAGCTTCGTAGCTACAGGAGTTGCTAACAAACACCGTCTCACCCCCCTGTTTTCTCCCCTCTCCTCCCCCCAGGCCGCTGCCTTCCTCCTGCTGGGCCTGGTGGTCATGGTCTCCAGCATGAGCCTCATCATCCTGGACTGGATCCACAACGCCTCCGCCACTGAGGAGACGCCGGCCAACACTGGACACTGATGGTCACACACTGGGGCTGCAGCCGGGGGGGGGGGCGCCTGTAGTGAAGAAGAAGAAAACACAGGAACTGACTTGATGCTCGGCGCCCCCTTCCTGAGCGTCAGACTATTGCCATTCTGAGAGAATGTATTGAACCTTTGTACAGTTTGTTGTTTTCGGCCGTGACGACGACGACGACGGCGTTTCTTTTTTTTTCTCCTCTTTTTATTGTAGATTTTTCCGTTGTTATTTTTTGCTCTTTGTATTTTTTTGTAGTTGTCGGTACAGATGAAACAAATATATGAAGGTGCCTGATCACAGACCGCCGCCCACTACAACACTCACGTGTGTGGCAGGAGCGTGGCTGTGATGTCAGATCAGTGATGTCACTGAGGTCTTGTGGCCGTTGGATTTGAACATTAATTTTATTCCAACTTTTTTTTTTCAGTCCAAATTTTGCCAAATTTGTTTGTGAAACGTTGGTTTACTGAAAGCACTTACAGTTTAGCACACTTAAAAAAGTTGGATTTGTCCGTTCTCACAGACACGGCGAGGAAATCGCTGCCGCCGCTCAGTGTTCGTACCGAGGCTCCGTTATGTTTCCTGTCGTGTCTGTTTTACTCAGAACCGCTGCGACACTGGAGGCCTCCGACACGAGGCCCACTCTATTTACTCTTTTGTAAAAAAACAAACAACAAAAAAACAACGAAAACCTGCTGAAGATATCGTCAGAAGAACGCACGCCGCCGCGACCGTAACCTGAGGCTGCAGACCTTCATTTCCTCCCCGACCTGTGACCTCTGACCTGGCGGGGAGGAAATTTAGAAGATGTTTTTCTTAATGAAAGACTTTGAATCTGACCACATGCTGTGGTTCTAATAAACCTGGAAGACTTGCAGAAAAAAAAAAGCCCTGGAACCAGAACTGTTCCTCAGTGCTGGCGCCCTCTGGAGACCAAACGTAGAAAAGAAACAAAGGCAGGTCTTTGAGTATTGTTGCTCCGTGGTTGCACACACTCCTCCACAGTTTGACACTGAAGTGGAAGCCCTGACGTGGACTCTGCCCAGTACAGCTGTGCTTCCAACACTAAGTCAACGTCACCACCTGCTGTCAAATCAATGTAATTTAATCTATTTTACTATATTTATATAATACTGTATGTACATATACATGTATATCTATATTATATATGAATACCCTCTGTGTTGAACTGTATATAGGCTTCTGTTTTGTCCTTTTTTGATTTTGAGCTGTAAAAACAAACATGAAAAAAAGAAAAAACGGTGAATTTGTATCTCTGACTTTTGTCTCCGTTAAGACTGAAAGACTTGTTGACTTGTTGAATCGTTTGATTCTGTCTGATCTGTTACATCTAAACACTTTGGAGTCAGGGTCGCAGCAGTCGGGGCTCAGGAGCCCACTAGGGGGAGCCCACCAGTGTTACTCTTGTTTCAATGAAACACTTCTATTATTGTCTCAATAAAAATCGACCAAAACGACGACGTCCGAGTCCAGTTGATGACGCGATGGTGTCATGTCACATGTTCTAGTCTGTACGAGTCTAATGAATGAACTCCAGACTGAAGTGACTCGAGTCACGGCCGCCGTCAAAGAACCTCCAGAACCGAGTGGATCTCAGGAAGCAGCTGTTTTTATTTCTCTGTTCACTTTGCACAGTTCATGTTCTTGCAGTTACATTTAGTATAAATTCAAACAGAGTGGATGGTGGTGGTGGGGGGGGGTCAGG